ATCCCCCTTTTCTTGAAGCTCTTCTCGACAATGCTAGGAGAAACTAGGTCCTATGACGCAGTGACACCAGGAAATCTAAGCATCCGCACATATCTGAAAAGGCCTTCTTCAATGGCAAGAAACTTGGATTAGCAAGCACGCTCTCGTCTGCTTCCTCGCAAACTGATCACGCGGATCGTCACAAGTTGAAGTACGTCATAGTGAAGTTTTTGGAGTTACAATTCTGCTTTTCTTCGGCAAAATTGACGAAAGCGAGCTTTATTTTTATTCATAAAATTAAGTAGCACATCGCAAGGGAAACGTAAAAGTGCGTTGGCCGGATGACGAAGCCTAAACTTCAGAATTCGACCAAGCTAGCATTGCAGGGCAGACGCAAAAAACGAAGAGAAAAGTTTGCGGTACAATTCCGGTTTTTTTCGACAAGATTGACAAAAGCGAGCTTTATTTCTGCCATATATATAATTACGTAGCACATCACAAGGGAAGCGGCGCGCCGGCCAGATGGCGAATTGTTAACTTTAGAATTCGACCAAACGTGCATTGCAGCGCGGACGCAAAAAACGAAAAGAAAGCTTTGCACGCGACAGGCCCTCGCACGCCTTGTTCAGCCCGGGAGCCGAGAATAGAGGCGGACTGCTGGCATGCGTAAATAAAACAAACCTCTATTCCCTCTCCCCGAATTCCGTATATACACTCGGTGGACAGCAGTGCTTCCTTGTGGCTACAAGCTACAAGGAACACTGGCAGTGCCCTCTACATCCCTCTTTTTCACATTTTATGGGGTAGGTCCTTACAAGTTCAAACGTTGGGGGGGGGGGCTCTTTATACGACCACTGCGAGTCCACGTCACAGCTTTCCGTGGCGTTACTTGTGGTTGCATGGGTTCTTGTCGAGCTTCAGGTTTCAAGTTCTCAGGAAGGGCTGGCGGAGAAGCTGCTAGTTGGGCTGAACTTGTTTCTGTCGATTGAGGCACCAGGTGTCGATGATTATGCTGCAGAACACCTCTGGGGGTCTGAACAAGATAGGATCCTGGACGCTAGGCCTGTGAAAGCACTTTCCCACTGCAGCACGTGTCCATGACCCACTCACGATCGCCAGAACTTAGAAGGGTCAGCTTGCTTGAAGCCTAATGGCGCTTGTGGTTCTTTGGTTGCTGCGCCCTGTAACTCATAACCTTTTCCCTGAAACTTGTGTGACACGGTAACCACGGCACTAGTTGTTCCGATAGTCGTTGGAGATGCATTTGCGATTTCCTTCCCATCAAGGCTCTGGCCGGAGAAATGCCGTTTGGACCGGACGTATCATGGTATGACAGCAAAGCCAGGTAAGGGTCAGGACTTTTGGAGAGCAAGTCTTTTTGCGCACCATGCGCTCCGCCACTCCGTTGCTCTGGGAATACCTTGGACTGCTGGTCTCATGATGGAAACCATATGACTGTGCAAACTCTGCAAACTCACGTGACACGAACTGCGGTTCATCCTCAGTCCGAACCACGTCTGGTACCCCAAAACGGGCGATGCAGCTCTTGATTGCCGAAATGATGGCTGGTGCCATAGTGGACCCAACAGAGACTACTTCAGGAAACCTGAAATAATAATCAATAATAAGGACGTAATCGGGCCCTTTCAGTTGGTACAGATCGATGCCTAGGTGCTGCCATGGCCTGTCAGGTGTAATTGTTGGCAACATAGGCTCGGACCGCTGAACTCTAGTCTCGGCGCACACAGCACACTGCGACTCCATATGTTCCACATGCATGTTACAGTTAGGCCCCCAAACAGTCTCTCTGGCCCATTCTTGGCAACGGCGCACTCCCTGATGCCCTTCGTGTATTAGGGCAAGAATATCCTGGTGCAAGGCCGATGGAATCACTAGTCGTCGGTCCAGCAGAAGGATGCCGTCGTATATGCTCAGTCTGTCCCTCTCCTTTCAAAACGGAGTGACCTGCAGAGGTACCTCGCTTTTGTTGGGCCATCCTTTCATCCAGTAGATCATGACTGCAGAGCAAACATTATCTTGAGCTTGATGCTTGCGCACATTATCCAGGCGTCTTGCTACCAAAGGCGGCAATTGCTTAACACTTCACTGATGAACAGCTCCAACGTCTTTACTATGGGGGTAGCCGGCACTTCTAAGGGCGCTCGTGACAAAGTGTCTGCTGTAGCTAAGTACTTCTTAGGCACATATTTCACCACATACTGATAGCACACCATTTTATCTGCATTCGTTGCATGGGAGGTGGCGTGAGCTCTAGGTACTTGTTACCCAGAAGTGTAACCAAAGGAACATGGTCTGTTTCTATTTCGAAGGTGAGGCCACAAAGAAACTGATCGCATTGTGAAACTGCCCGAGTCATGGCGAGACACTCCTCCGTCTGGCTATAGCGCATTTCTGTAAAAGTGAGCGCTCTTGAAGCGTTTGCAACGGCCCGTTGATTACCTTCAGGCTGGTCCTGTAGGAGTATCGCTCTCAGGCCGTAGGAACTGGCATCCGCGGATACTACTGTGTGGTAGCAGGAATCGTATTTTGCAATGCACGTGTCAGAGCCCAGCAACAACTTCAGTCATGAGAAGACAACTTCTTGATTGTGCCTTTAAGTCTATGCGCTGTTCTTGTTCAAAAGGGAATGATTGTGCTTTGTGACATCAGATAAGTGAGGTATGAAGCGTGCAACATGGTTGGCCATTCAAAGTAACCGTCGTACTCCACAAACGTCGGTCGGCGGCAGCAGGTCCTTGACAGCCTTAACCTTGTCTGGGTCTGGTGAAATCATGTTTGCTCCAACCACTCCTCCTAGGAACATCACTGAGGTGACCCGAAATGCGCACTTATTGTCGTTGAGGGCGACACCCTCTTCTTCTAAGCGGGCCAAGACAGCATTCAAGCGCTCGTCGTGCTCCTGCCAATCTTTGCAGAAGATTAGAATGTCGTCAATCATGTTCACAACTCCAAGCAAGCGCTCAAGGATTCTTGACATTAACTGTTGGAAGTACTCAGGTGCCGTGGCAGTACCAAATGAGAGTCTCTTGTAACAATACTGACCAAAAGGCATTATAAAAGTTGTCAGTTCTTGGCTGTCTGCACTCAGCTTCACCTGATATAAAAGTTTGACTGCGCATCTAACTCGGAAAACACCTGTGCTCCACCCCAACTGTCCAAGAATCTCCTCCACCATTGGCATTATAAAGCACTCCGTTTAAGTTACTGCATTAAGCTTTGTCAGGTCATCATAAATCCTGTAGCCGCCAAAGTACTTGAACACGACTATGAGTCCGGAGCACCACTCTGTTGCCGTCTCTACCTTTCGTATGACATCCTGCGACTCCAATTCATCCAGCTCTCTCTTGACAACGTCGTTTAAAGGAATTGGAATTCACTGTGAGGCACTCAAGGAAAATGAACGGGCCCCGAGTTTGAAGGGTATGCGATATTTAGCTAGCCGAAATTTTCCCCACCACTGGAAAATTTTCGCTTTAGTGGAATGAACGCCTTCGGCAGAATCCACGAACTGAACGACCCTAAGAGCCTCAATTGGAGGCAGGCCAAGTAGGTGTGTACGCTGACGGTCAACCACATACAACGTCTGCACTGTGGCTCTGTCGTGCCACTGTAAAGTCTTTGAAGGTACCAAGAACATGAAGAGTCTGTTCATCAGGGCCTAAGACTTCCCCTTCGACAAAATCTAGCACCCGCGGTCGACCTGGGAAAGACAGCGAGACCACAGACACTTCTGCGCCAGCATCTATCTTAAACTCGGCAAGGCACTCGTTAACAAGCATTTCCGAGTACCTTTTTGGCGTGAATCCACGTTGTGAAGGTCGATAGATCCGAGCAGGTCGTTTTTGTTCTTCTTCATACAAATTTTGGCAAAATGCCCTACCTTTCTGCAATAGTGGCACATCAATTTTTCGGCGGGCAGTCTTTCTGAGGGTGTCGCTGACGCCCACAAAAGCGACATGATAGCACAGCCGAGTGTTCAGACTGATTACGGGATGAAAGAATGGGCGTATAATTTCGACAAATCGAATCAATGTTCAGCATTTCAGCAAGGGCATTATTTACAGTCAATCTTTGGTGGGATAACCGCTCTTTCTATGTGTCCTCATGAATGCGGGCTTGGCACAGGGTTTCTTCAGCGGTGTGTTTTCTGCAGCGGCATAATTGATCAGACGGACTCTCGTCACTTATGCCCACGATAAATCTGTCACGAAAAAGACTGGACGGTCCTTCACAAGCGAGCTGTCGTAACTGCAGCTCTTTACCAGATTACGTAACGCTGTGAAAAAGTCATTCACAGGCTCGCCTGGCTGCTGAATGCGGTGGTGAAAATGACTGTAGTGACGTGCCCGGGTAGCGCGGACGCCGCTAGCCGAGCCAAAAGTGGGCGGGAAGCCCGCGAAGAATCACCTGACAACGCGTAGTTCACAAACAGCAAAAAGCCCGGTTTAATGCCCACCGATGCCTTTTATACAGAGTGGGGGCGCCACCTCTCAGTTACTAGAAGCAACAGGTGGCGTCCTCTACATCCCTCCTTCCGGAGCTCTCAAAGGCAAGTGTTCCAAAATAGCACCACCAAGAAACAGTCCTTGCAGCAGTCTCACAAATTCAGTCTCCGAGGTGGCACCACGCACCGGCCGTACCGTGTGTAACGGTGACCTGGCGATCCTGCAGCAGGTGCAGGAGCTGGAGGGTCCAATGCGTTACCGGTTGCTGCCCGCTGTGGTCTGGGAGACGGCGCCGACGTCGGGGCCGCAGGGTTGGGGATTCCTGTCTCATCTGAGGGGGCTGACTGAGGATTGCTGCAGGGGACAAGGTGTCTGCGGTTTCTCACTAGTATGCCACTGGGCGTCTGGACGATGTACGAGCGGGGTCTCTGAGCCGGGCTTAGGACCGTTGCCCTTGCCCACGTGTCACGCACCCAGACTTTCCTCCCCATCGTCGAGAGCACGAAGGTCATGCGCTGCGTGTCGGTTATTGTAGTCTCTCTGTTGTCTTCGTCTCTAGGCGGCATCTCTGTCATTGAATTCTTTCACCTGGGGCCAATCTGGAACAAGGCTTTGAGCCGTGGCTGGCACACGAGTTCGCAGAGAGCGTCCCATGAGCAGTTGGGCCGGGCGGTAGCCAGACACACCGGGAGTGTTGCGGTATGCTGGCAGAGCCAGAAACGGGTCTGTGGCCTTCAGAAACAACTCCTTGATCGTGCGAACCATGCGCTCTGCTTCGCCGTTCGACTGTGGGTAGCGTGGACTGCTCGTGACATGCGTGAAACCGTATGTCTTCCCAAAGTCCTCAAAAGCTTTGCAGGAAAACTGTGGCCCATTGTCGCTGACAACAGTCACCGGGATGCCGTGTCGGGCAAATGTGCTCTTGATCGCAGAAATAACGGCTTCGCAGAAGTGGACCGAAGTGTGAGGACCTCAGGGTACCGAGAACGGTAGTCGACAACCACCAGGAACTCTTGATTAGCAAAATGAAACAAGTCAATGGCCACCCTTTCCCACGGAGCTGATGGTGTCTCGGTCGCAATCATGGGCTCACAGCGTTGAACGCGTATAGAAGCACATGCTGGGCAGTTCTCTACGGCTGCTTTAACCTGGCTGTTGAAACCGGGCCACCACACAGAGCCTCGAGCCACCGCCAAGCACCGATTGACGCCTTGGTGACCATCGTGCAGCAGGTTCACGATGTCTCTGCATAGTGCTGCGGGCACAACTAGGCGTCTGCCCATGAACAGCATGTTCTCGCATACAGTGAAGTCTCCCCGGTGGTCCCAGTAACGCGTCATGTTGAACAACAGACGGTCTCGTCGAGGCCACCCTTTCATGCAGTATGCTTTTAGCATTGAGCACTCGCCGTCTGAAGTTTGGTGAGACCTGAAGTCTTCAAAACGTACGGCCAGGGTTGAAGGAAGGGCTGCCATGACTCGAGACACAAAAATTTCAGTGCTGTCCTCTTCGGACGTGGAAGAGCCTTTGGGATCCCTAGAGAGGGTGTCTGCCGTGGCCAGATACTTTCCTGGAACATACTTGACTGTGAACTGATATCACATGAGCCTTATGCGAAATCTTTGGATGCGAGGGGGCATGAGGTCCAGGTCGGTGGAACCAAGCAACCTGACGAGCGGCTGATGGTCGGTTTCAACAACAAAGCTGAGCCTCCGCAGGAATTCTTCAAACCTCTCGATAGCCCAAGAGACACCAAGCGCTTCTTTCTCAATCTGACTGTACCGCTGCTAAGCGGTAGTCAGTGCTCTTGACGCGAACGCGACAGCCTGTCGCTCTCCCGTCTGTTGCTCCTGCAAGAGAACCGCGCCTAGCCCAAACGAACTGGCATCTGCCGACACAAGGGTGGGTAGCTCTGGATTGTAGCTGGCCATACAAGCATTAGATGCCACCATTTCCTTCAATGTCTCGAAAGCGGTTGCTTGCACATGGTCCCAGGTCCAGACCGCGTTCTTGTTCAACAGGAGCCGTATCGGTGTAGTGACGGCAGACAGGTTCGGTAAAAATCTTTCAATGTGGTTCAGCATGCCCAGGAAACGACGGACGCCATGCGTATCTGTCGGCGGCTTCATGTTCACAATAGCAGATACCTTGTCAGGGTCAGCCGAGATGCCACTGGCGCTCACCACTACACCAAGGAACTTGACGGAAGATACCCCGAAGGAGCATTTCGAGGCATTCAACGTAATGCCCGCTTGTTCTAACTTGCAAAGGACTGCTTGGAGTCTGCTGTCGGGCTCGGACCGGCTCCTGCCGAATACTAGAATGTCATCTACCATGTTCACACATCCTTCCAGGCCCTCTAGAATCCGAGACATTTGGCGCTGAAATACTTCGGGAGTGGACCTGATGCCGAAGGGCAGGCGGCGGTAGCAGTAGCGTCCAAACGGTGTTATGAAGGTAGTCAGCTCCTGACAGCTTTCCGATAGCCTTACTTGATGAAACCCCGATTTTGCATCAAGTTTCGAGAAGACCGCAGCATTGCCAAGACGGCCAAGTACCTGGTCCACTGTGGGCATAAGGTGTCTCTCCCGAAGAACTACTTGGTTCAACTTCGTGAGGTCAACACAAATTCTGTATTCGCTATCGGCTTTGGGTACCAGCACAATAACAGCACACCACGGGGTTGGCACTGTGACTCGCCCGATGACCCCGTCTCTTTCCATGGCATCTAAGTCCTTCTTGACCACGCCTTCGAGGGGAATAGGGATGCGCCTAGGAACGCTGAGAGAAAATGGAATCGCTCCCGGCTTGATACGAATGTGGTATTCTTCAGGCATCTCGCCAAGGCCTGAGAACAGCGAAGCTGCGGCCTTGTCTGACGTTGGGGGCCTATTCCGAGCTTCCGCATCTTCCACGGTGTCAACAAACTGGACGACTCCCAGGTCCACTACCGCCGAGTACCCCAGCAGAGGAGAGTCAATGTCTGCTACAACGTACAACGTTTTGCATACCGACCGGCCTCGCCACGACAGGGTAGCAGGAAACGTCCCAAGCAACCTTAGGCGGCAGCGGCCCGGCCCCATCAACCGTTCATTATCGGTTTGTCAAGGTCTGCTGGGCACCCGGCGAAGCTCGGAGGTACGACCGAAACGTCCGCCCCAGTATCCACTTTTAATTGAAGGGGGCGTCCGTTGACATGAACAACAACGTGCCGGCGTTCTGTTTGCGAGGCATCCATGGCGCAGATATGGATTTGGCTTAAATGCCTAGTATTATTCGAGCGGCAAACCGCCGCGAAGTGGCCCTTCTTGCGACATTGGTTGCATGTGGCCCACCGTGCTTTGCACTCAGATCGCGGATGAGGGGCGTGGCCGCAAAAATCGCATGCCGACTTCGGGCCGGCGGGGTACTCGGGAGGCTGACAGACGTTACTTTTACTTCGGGCAGCTTCGCATGCTGGGGCGTCGGCCATTCGGTACTGGTTGTTCGCAACGGCGTCGATGTTCAGTGCGTCTGGTGCAACGCCTGTCCCCTGACGCCGCAATTTCTCATTTTCAGCATCTTCGTACTGACGCGCTTGGATGAGCGCCTCGTCCAGTGTAAGCTTTGGATTGCGGCAGAGCTGGTCGGTCAAGCGAGAGTCAAGCAAACCTTCGTCGTCGATTTCCCGAGAGGCGTAGTTGCACTTCTTCACGAGATTTCGGAGCGCCGTGAAAAACGCGTCGACTGACTCGCCTACCGCTTGCGTGCGCTTGTGGAACCTGCTCGACTCGTATACCTCGTTGACGGGGTGTACAAAATATCCCGAAAGACTTGTCACGCCGGAGTACGAGCGATAGGCCTCGGTGTCTGACATGAGAGACGAAAGCACCTCGCGACCTTGGGGACCCATACAGTAGAGGAGCGTGCGTACCTTGGTTTCTTCGGGGGCGGAGGACAGTCCTGAGGCGAAGGAGTAATCCTCGAATTGTTGAAGCCACGCCGTCCATTGGGCTGGGTTGTCAAAAGTGAACTGCGGCGGAGTTCGCAATGTGAAGCTGGCGGTCCCGGCGGAGGCGGCGGCTGGGTTATCCTGCATGTGGCACGGTTGTCGCAGTATCCCACTTCTTTTACCATGTAGTGACGTGCCCGGGTAGCGCGGACGCCGCTAGCTGAGCCAAAAGTGGGCGGGAAGCCCGCGAAGAATGACCCGACAATGCGTAGTTCACAAACAGCAAAAAGCCCCGTTTAATGCCCACCGATGCCTTTTATACAGAGTGGGGGCGCCACCTCTCAGTTACTAGAAGCAACAGGTGGCGTCCTCTACAATGACGACTTTCTTATATCTCATTTACCGAACGCACGAAGTGCGAATCTAATTTTTCTTTGACAGATGTGAAAGGAAGCGTTTCTGGTGCCAATACCCTAAAGGACGAAAGAATGGATCTGGCTTGCGGTTCCATACAGTAAAGAATTGTCCTTACCTGGACCTCGTCGCTGGCATTGTGCAGGCCGACCATCAAGGCGTAGTCTTGGAACGTTGCAATCTACGTGGGCCATTTTCCGGGGTTAGAAAACATGAAGTTTGGTGGAGGGGGCAGGCCAGGTACACCCTCCTAAACGTTGTTCACTTTGGCTTCGGCAAAGTTCGATACCGTGTCATTAGGCATATCGGAATAATGGCGTCACTCCACTCTAACACCATGTTCAGACCGGAAGCCGAAAAATGAGGCAGACTGCTGGCAAGGGAAAATCAAGAGAACTTCATTCCCTCTCCCCAAATCCCATATATACACTCGGTGGACAGCAGTGCCTCCTTGTGGCCACATGCTACAAGGAACACTGGCAGTACCCTCTACATGCCTCGCATGCAGAAAGTTGTCCATGTCGAGACGCGAGCGTGCATTCTCGGGGGGTGAGATGGAGAGATAAAGGGAGGCAAACGCTCGATTAGTTCCAGATACCCGTCAAGAGGTTTGAGTGTTCAGGTACGGTATTCTAGGGACCCTAGTTCGGGAGAAGCTACCTTGGAAAAAGGAACTTGCCCCATTTGACAGCTTGTCAGCTTGGCAAGGCGTGCACCCGCCAGAAGCATCAAAAGGTCCGAAGTCTCTACGTGCGCGTGCTGGCGAGTCGGCTCGAGCGGGGCGGGGGGGGGGTGTGAAAAATATGCGAGTAAGTATTTTTTTAGCAAAGCTGGTAAAATATTAGGGTATGCAAAATTATGCAAGGGTGCAAACTATGGGAGTAAATACATTAGGAGGGTATAGAGATTGAGGATTGAGTAGTGTCTGAATCTAGCAAAGATTTGTTATTCCGGAAGCATTAGAAAAATGGAGCTGAAACTAGATAGGTGATGGTGCCAGGGTGCTGTAGGCAGGGTGTTTTAGAATATCACTATGCAAGTGGGAGCAGAGATCCCAAAAGCTTATGCAGAGAAGTTACCTGAAATATACAAATACGTTAGACACTTTGTGAAAGACTCGGCCTGAAAAGCTGTTAATGTAGTGTCCTCATGATGTTGTGAAATAGTGTAGAGATGATGGACCATTGCATCCTAGGTAGTGGACTATGTGAACAGTGAGAATGTATCTTTGAGGTGTAGTGAATTTTCTTATAGTGGGTAGTGTGGCGAGTAAAAGTGTGTGGGTATGGAAGGCCATATTTCGGCCTGCGTGTGGGTTATTGCTAGAGATAGTATTGGAAGTTGGGCACAGCGCTCATCTGGTTATTACAATTGATAGTATTGGAAGTTGGGTACAGGGCTCATCTGTGTCCCTTTTGTACTTTTTCATCTTTGTCAGTCTCATGCTGTAATCAAAAATGTTACAAGTGATGTCACCAACAGAAGAGCAGAAGGCCACAACCCTGAAAAACGCAGTTTTTTTAAGAAAAAATTTTGGAAAGAGGGCCTATGTTGTGAGTAAAGGGGCACGAGGCACATGCCGAGTGTATGCGGGTTGTGTCCCTTTTGTACTTTTTCATCTTTGTCAGTCTCATGCTGTACCCAAAAATGTTACAAGTGATGTCACCAACAGAAGAGCAGAAGGCCACAACCCTGAAAAACGCAGTTTTTTTAAGAAAAAATTTTGGAAAGAGGGCCTATGTTGTTAGTAAAGGGGCACGAGGCACGTGCCGAGTGTATGCAAGTTGGAATAGTTTGCGGAGCCACGGAAAAGTGCCCAACGGCATGCAGCGCTGCCCTGTCCGCGCACACGATTGGTGGTAAAAGGGCTCATGGCACATGACCCCAGCCGGGGTGGAAAACACCAAGAGGATAAAGTGACACTGTTTTGTGTAGCTCTAAACTCAGAAGATCAAGGAATTTAAAGTCACAACTGCAACAAAAGCAGGAGGCACCCGGTTCTGGAGGCTGCCGACACGAGATTGCCAGGAAGTGGCCGTCGACCTTGAGAGACCTGAGTGCGGTTGCTAAGACATGCTGCATCTCATCCCCGCAGCTCTTGGTGTGCCAGTAGTGCCATGCTGGAACTTGGAATCCTTGGCAAACACAACCTGTGCAGGCTTTATGTTGGGGAAGAAATCATGCTAGTATGTGCAGGGATCGCACTTCTGTGCTAACTGCGCCAAACGAGATTTGCTGTGCCAACTTGATAAAATCGATGGAAATTGCACCAACTTGGGCCAAACCGTCCATCTCAGGGTTCCGCAAACTGTGGTCCGCGGGCCGCATGCGGCTCGCTGGGCAGTTTTATGCGGCTCCTGGCACGACATCATAAATCATAAAATCGCTAGACACTGTAATTGCTTCAGTATTTAAATAACTATAATCAATGTCTTAATTACCGGAGACAGCAGTCGAGTCTAATTAGAGAATCCTTAACCATCCTGCGAACAGGCCTATAACACCTATATACTAGGCGTTAAGAAGACGACGACTGTGTCTCCGCTACTATTCTCTGCACCGCAGCCGCAGCGTGGCCAGTAGGTGATGAGAAAGGAGGAGCGTTTCTACGCGAAGAAAAGCAGATGGCCATTTGAGAGATAACTAGTACTCCACGGCAGTTTTTTTTTTTTGCTCTCTTGGCGTGCTGCGTTGAAAGGAGAAGGGTATCTACGTGTCAGGGATGGCAAAAGAGGAAGCGTAGCACCGGCGCATTGCAGATTAGCATTTGAGAAAGAGCCAACACTCCACCGAGGCGCTGCGCCGTGCTCCCTGCCGAGCTGCAGAAATTAGGCGCCTCTCTTCCTTTTTCATTTTCTAACCACCACTACCACCACCACCACCACTCCGCAACAGCTTTTTCTTTCCTCTCTATCCGCGCGTGGCGTTGAAAGGAGAAAGGTCTGTACGTGGCAGGGATGGAAATGGGAGAAACGTGGCAAAGGTGCGTCCCAGATTGGTATTTCCATACCTGCCAACTGTTCCGATATTTTAGCAGTCATGTACGAATTTCGATCGTGCGTACAGTTTTACGAATCTTGCCTGAAATTTAGGAAAAATATTTCATTTCTGGTAAAAAAATAAAATTAGTAAAAAAGCGTGGCATCTGCAATTGGCTACGGCGCATTGCCATAGCTCGTCACGGAGGCCTCAAAAATGGCGTTGTGCTATATTCTGCTACCAGAAGAGAAGTATATGTATTGGTGTTATCATCACATACTCGCAAAGTCTCCCGCATTGTCTGAGAGACTCTCGAATTGCGACCAATTCTTACATGTGTAGGGTTGCCATGAAAATCTTCCGAAAATCGAAATGTGTGTGTGAGATCTGGCCACATTGACAAGAATGCAGGCCAGTCTGTTCCTGACTTTTTGTGAGACCACCTAAACGAATTTGAGAGGCGTTCATCTAAACACACAGTAGAGTCTCAGTGATACAAAACCGCTACAAATATGAATTCGTGAAATTCCCCAGCCTAATTCACCTGTCCATTGAGCCAAAATTTGAATGCTCGGAAAACTTTTTCTGATCGCGGCTAGTGATATAAACTTCAGTACTGAAACCGTTCAACGAAGATCGATCAAAAGCAGCGTGCTTGATGCTTCGGAAGTTAGTGTGTGACCAGCAACCACACGCACTGTGCAAGACAGTGTGTATGGTTGTCGTTGTCACAACTGCTGTGGACGAAACCGTGGTTATTCAACACGATCATGTATGGCGACGACGTTAGTGACAGAACTCCTAAAGTTTGCGCGTGGCCAATGTTCGACCAGTCAAAGCAATGCTGCTTTCTGCAGTCTCTATGGAGAAAGCCACGGCAGTTGCAACCATAGATAGCATAGAACGAAGGCACGTAGATTGAAAAAAAAAAAAAAGCTACCGTTTCCCGCAAACCGGCACACATGAATCTGTGGTCGCGGCAATGCGATAGCGTTCTATGAGCTTTGGGGACACATGGCTGATGCAGCAGTAGGATGAAAGGTGGTAAAGGCGTGAAAAAGCGTAGAAGCGTTTTGACATTCCTGTCCAAAGAATCTAGTAGCGAGCAAAGCCGAAGCTTTGACCCGCGCTTTCGGGGCAGCCAGCCTTGTCCGTTGAGGTGTGTTTCAGGAAGACATAAGGGAGTTGTTATCACGGAAATATATTTTGCTAGCTGTTTAGATGACATAAAATTGTGACCGGGAGCATCACGCCCCTTTTATATTTTCACCTTAGTAGAAAACCCTACCCTCGTGTCTTGGGCTACTCCAAGCCATTATGAGACCGCAGCGCCAATGTTTGCGCATGTGTTTGTGACCCTTCCCCTCCATTAGTTTTCACGACGTTTAGTTTTTGTTTTTTTTTCTTTTAGCACCAAATATGGGGGAAAATAATTTGGTGAAAATAATAATTTGGCAAATAATTGGCGCAATAATTTGACTTATCGTGGCAAAACATGATAATGCTTGTCGCTAAAGGCAAATCTATCACAGCTACACATTTAAAAAAGAGCCGATAACACCCAACCTTTCCCCCCTTCCCGCTCGGGTGTTTTACGAATTTCTCTGTTGCCAGGTTGACAGGTATGCATTTGAGAGAGAGCAACTATTCTGTCCCAGCCTTTTCTTTTCTTCGTTTCCTTCTTTGCGCACAGCGTTGAGGGGTCGGAGGCACCGCTGTGGGATTAGGCATGATGCTGAGAGCATTTTCGGAGC